AGGGTAGAGCCGGCAGTGACCAGCTCCCACCTTCCTCTGGGAGAAGTCCGGCCTCCCGGGGTGGAGGGTGAATGGTGCTCATTTCCTGGAGCAGCAGGGCTGGGGGAGGGGATACCTGACCTCCCAGGCCTCGCTGGGCCGGATTTTGCAGCCTTTCCCTAAAGCAACACTTCAGAGCTGCCATCCCTACAAGTTTCAACATCCAGAACCGGGGTTCGATCCTCACTGCCCCTTGCCTGCCTTGTCCTACCTGCGAAGGTGTTTCTGTTCTTCGCTCAGACTTGAATCAACTCAAAACTTGCACTCAGGCACTCTTTCTCCACCCCGAACCCTGACCCAGCCTGGGGAGGGAAAGTGTTAAACTCTTTGTCCCAATGGGCACAGCACTGGCTAGCCAGAAGTGGACCTGCTCACTAACCTGGAACTGCGGCCTGGATCAGAGCGGAGATTTTGCAGCCTGGTGGCCAAAGCTGGAAAACCCAGGGGAAAGAGGCGGGGCTGGGGCAGGGACGTGGGCGGGGGGAGGAGGCGCTCAGCAGGGCTGAGGGTCCATCCCTAGAGACCCTGGGACGTCTAGGGCGTGGCCGAGGGGCCACCAGGCAGCCAGCCCATCCCGCTGCTTTTTGGAGGCCGCAATGCAGAGTTATTCCTCTTTCTTTATAAACCGCAAATTCCAAGGCCCCAGAACACTCTTAGGCCTGGGGATTCACACTTGCGGGTCCTCATAGGTTTTCTTTAGCTTTTCCAACCTATCACAGTTCGCTAATACTGCCAACACCTATCCTGCTTGGTAATTTATTAAAATGTCTAAAATATCTGTAGTTACAAGAATGAGTAAAAGATAAATCATTTGGCACAATAGCATGTTTTGCACGATCATTAAAATGTATCAATTTAAAATTCCATGTATGTGTACTCGTGTGTCTATAATTTTAACCTATGAGAGAGCATGAATTGATTTCTAAATCCATATTCACATGTACATGAAAAGCTTGTAGAGTTTAGGAACTGCAACTACAGGTTTCAGTGGTCTAGCAATGGTGAAAAGAAAAGTAATACTAAACATCCTGCCCAGGGACTCTGACCAGATGAGTGTTTCCTGTTCTTAGAAGGTGGCTGGGGGCACGCAGGGGGAGAGGGGCCTGGCAGTCTAGACAGAAGTCAGGGAAGAGGCCGGACAACACAGGGAGAACTGGGCAAAGTATCACGGGATTGTTCTGAGCAGTTCAGCAAAGAGAAAGTACCTGGACTCTCAAAAGCAGCACAGACGTGTCATTTTTAAAATTTTATTTATTTTCCTATCATCATGTTTTATGAGTCAGTATTCTAATAAGTATGTCTGTTCCTAGGCTAAGATGGCCTACAAGATGTGCTCTGTGAGTATATCTTAGTCCATTCAGACTGCTATGCCAAAGTAACCTCAACTGAGCATCTTATAAACAGCAGAGATTTATTTTTTGCTCTTCTCAAGGTGGGGAAGTCCAAGATCAAGGTGCTGATAAACTGGGGGTCCGGTTGAGGGCCTGTTCCCCAGAAGTTGCTGTCTAATTCCTTCTGCACACAGTGAACGATACAAACAGGCTCTCTGAGCCTCTTTATGAACTCATTAATTTCTTTTAGGCAAATTATGCCCTCATGACCTAAAAATCTCCCCAAGGCCTCCTCTTGATGCAACACTTTAGGGATTAGGATTATGACACAAACATTCAAAACATAGCACAAAGCAAATTTTTAAAAAACATGTACAAGAGCTTCAATTATTTATTGAATCTGTATTTCAATAAAAGAAAAAACTAATATGAAGAGAACTTTGGTAGGTGAAGGAGAGCAGGAACAGTATGCATCACTATGATGAGAGGGCAAATTCTATGCTGTGTGCTAAAGAAGTAACAGGAGAGGCTGGTGGGAGACAAACCAGATGCAGGACAGATTAGGTAATCCCAAACGAGTCATAACAAATTTTTGCCTTGAATTTCAGAATGTTATGACATTGAAAGTTTTTAAAGGAGCAATAATTTCAGATTTGCATTGTGAAAAACAAATTCAGATTACAGTAAAGAAAATCTGGAAAAAATTCAAGAGGCAAAAATTTAGAAATAAAAGAACTTCTTAGTATATTCATCACGGCAATGCAGCTAAAGCTCCAGATCAGTCTGAGGTGTTAAACCTTGAAAACACAGAATACTGTAATGAGGTACTTATGGGCTATGTAGCAAATAGCTAGGGAGGTCCCTTGCTCTGAATGTGCAAAAACAAACCAAAAAGCCGGATAGGGAGATAAGATTTACTTATTGACACAGAAGTTCAACGGTTAAAAGGACAAATGAACAAATAATTATAATGTACTCTGCTAAGATTGAAGGTAAAAGATACATTGACAGCACAGAGCACTTATCTCAAATTTATGGATTTTGATCATGTTCCCTAGGGGATATGTCCCTACAGAATCATGACACACTTGTAAAAATTAACCAAGGGAGGGCCAGGGATTTAGCTCAGTGGCATAAGTGCCCACCTTGTAAGCCTATGGTCGTGAGTTCAATCCCCGGTACCAAACAATCAAAGAAAAAAAAAAAAAACCTAAAAATTAACCAAGGGAACTGGTGTGACAAATAAATGTTCAATGACATGAACAGCATGAATGTACAAGAAAGCTAGGTAATTATGAGTAGTTTCTTTCAAAATGTAGTTGTATTCCTACATTGTATTCCAACGTAGTTAAAATTCCTAAAAGAATCAAAATATTACTTACACATATAGCAAGAGATTTATTTGAAGTGATGGTCCTGTGATTACAGATGCCAGCAAGTATAAAATCTGCATCGTGGGCTGGCAGGCTAGAGACCCTGAAAGAGCAGCAGCTAAAAGTCCAAAGGCTATTTGCTAGCAGCTCTATCTCTCCAAGGTGGGAGCTCAATCTCTTGTTCCACTCAGACCTCAGCATAAAGTCGACCCACCTTACGGGGGGGGGGGCAGTCTATTTCATTCAAAGTGCACCTATTTAATTTAAATTTTAATTTCATCTGAAAACATCTTCACAGACATAGCTAAAACAATGTTTGACCACATACCTATCTTGGTGCTGTGGTAAAATGATCCATAAAATTAGCCGCTACAGTAACACAACACAATGAAAACATTTTAAATGATTATCTAATCTCTATTTCCTACTAGGAGAGGGAGGCCAGGATTCCATGCTACCCTGGAATCTGAGAATGTAAAACTTAGTATGTAAGAAGTAAAGGCTAAATTATGAGATCTAGGAAAAATAAAGCATTTACCATTCTAGATGAATGAACTGGATTTAACATATTTTATTCATTAATGCAATCTCACATTGAATTTGTATTATTAACCCTAGGGTTGTGCGAGAGTTAACTGGGAGCAGAAAAGGAACTGAGTTTACCATCATTAGCTCTTAGAAAAATCTAAGTCAAAACTACAAGGAGATACCACTTCATACCCACTAAGAAGGACATAATTGAAAAGACAGATAATAACAAATTTTGGTGAGGTTTTAGAGGAGTTGGGATCTTCATAATTGTTGACAGAAATGTAAAATGATGTAGTCATTGGCAGTTCCTCACAAGTGCACACAGTTACCATTTGACTCAGTAATTCCATTCCCATGTATATATCCAAGGTAAATTAAAATATGATTCCATGAAAATAATTTTACATTAATGTTCACAGAAACACTATGCTATGAACAACTCAAAAAAGGGGAACTGTCACTGGGAAGCCTGATGCTGTAACAAGTTGTTGCTTCTCAATCTCATGCTCTTAATGAAAGAATTCATGAGCAGGGCACGGTGTGTACATCTAGAATCCTAGAACTCAGGATGCTGAGGCAGTTAGATTGCTTCTAGTTTGAGGCTAACATGAATGATAGAGTTAATTTGTTGTAAAGTAAATACAGAGTTATAGCTTCAAGTGAGAAGGCAGGTATACCCGTTAAAAAAAGCATCTGCCTGAGTGCAACTTTGGATATTTTTAACAATTACTCCTGGAATTCATGGATTTAGGTCACGATGCTTTTTGACACTTTTCTTAGAGGTTACTTTGGAGAATCAATATCTCAAAAATGTCTTGTCTTTTTCTGATGGGTAGTGCTCCCCCGGAAGGCTTAATCATATCAGAAACTTAGGAAAGGAAGAAAAAGTTCTAATCAAAATCAGATCCCAGACCATGATGGGAAGGTCTTTAAGGAACATTTCCTTTTTGGGTATCATTGGACCCTAGGCTATAGCAACCAGAAATGCTGCATGCCTTGTTCTAGAAATAGAGGCCTGGGTCTTTGAGTCTGAGAATTAAATGACTATAAAGACTTTGACTCTTATAGCTAGCAACACATGCTGTTATGGACATTTCTTTGTCCCTCAGGACTGCTAATGTCTGTTAGCCTAACAGAAACAATCCAAATATTTACCAACTAACCAATGGACAAAGGAACTGTGGTAAAAGAGTCGCATGTAAGCCAGCCATAAGATGGAATGGAGTGGTCCAGGTGTGGTGGCACACTCTTGTAATCCCAGCACTTGGGAGGCTGAGGCAGGAGGAACGTTGCAAGTTCAAGATCAGTCTAGGCTACAAGTGAGCCCAAAGCCAGCCTGAACCACACAGTGAGTCCTTGTCTCAAAAAGAAAGAGAAAACAAAGATGGAATGGAATGATGACAAAATGGATGAACTTTAGGATGAACTTTAGAAACATTAGGTTAACGAAGGAACTCACACACAAAAGATCATTATTATATGAAATATAATTTATATGAAATATCCAGAACAGGCAAGCTTATAAAAATGGAAAGTAGGGTCAGGAATATAGCTCAGTGGCACAGCACCCTCCATCCTGGCAAGTGCAGTGTCCTGAGTTTGATTCCAGATTCAAACAAACAAACAAACAAAAAAAAAAAAAAAGAATACAGCACTTAAAAAAAAAAAGTGAATTTTATAATATATCTTAAAAATTTTTAATTAAAAAAAAAGAAATTGATCTTACCTCCTGGAGCAGAAAGAGAAGTGTAAGTGGGGTCACTAAAGCACCCGATGGTGAATTTTAATCCAGGTTTCTATGCTGCTTTTCCCATTGAATTTGGCTTCCCGTTTCGGGTCCTGCTGGACACCAGCCTTCTGACAGCCACTTCATGGCCCAAGAGCAGCTTTTCTAGGTCATGTCTCCAGGCTTGAGTCACACTTTCAATTGGCACAATTCGATACACTTTTCTGCCCCAAACCAGCCAACTGTTGAGGTATTGAGTTTAACCGTAGGGTAGTCAGAAATAATGGTGGCGGAACCAAAACCCGCTGGAGAAGGCGCAGGTAGTCACCATGCACCACTCACCTTCATAGCACATAGGTCACTCTCGCAGGGAAAGAAAGGGCCGCGGGGGTGCACACCGGGCTCTAGACCGGGAAGAGTAAATGGCTTGAGGCGGGGTGTGTGTGTGTGTGGGGGGGGGTGTAAAGCCCCGGATGCGGAAGTGCCTTGGAGGCCTTGGAAAGGCCAGAAAGTCCTGTGGTGAGGTCCGAATCCCAGGCATGTATGTGCTTTCTGGGAAGTCTGTCTTTGTTTTAAGAATGCTGCAGTGCCAGTTCCGGGGTGATCAGAGGTAGAAGCATATGACCCAACCAAAGAAAAATTGTGGTAAGATCTTAAATCACAGTAGGTGCTACAACAGTTCGTGTGACCATGGGCAGGTACATATTGAAGTCTTAGCATCTTTAGTAGCCGCTTACCATCCAAGGTGGATACCCGGGAGGTCACTCTCCCCGGCTCTGTCCAGGTGGCGTAAGGGAGTATAGGGCTCTGCCCGGTGATGTCCAGTCCCTTTCCGCCACGCTAGGCCTTGTGTCTGCGCCTGCATATTCCTACAACTTATCAGAGTCTTTTGGGCAGTGACTGCGGAGGTAAAGCATGCAGGAAACAGTGTCTAATCAACTTAAAACTAAACTTGAGCTACTGGGGCCTGGGATTTAGCTCAGCTTCACAGTCACCTGCCTGGCAGGTGTGGGGTGAGTTTGATCCCCAGTATAAAATAAATAAATAAATAAATAAATTTGAATTACAAACCTCAAAAAAAAAAGTGTAAGCTTACCCCTGGCAATTTAAAATACATAGAGATTTAGTAGCAAAATTGAGTTGAGGCACACCAATGTGCTTAATAGTTGATTAAGCATTGATTAATTTTGATTTTACAGCTTCCCCTCATTCCATGATATGAAGTTGAATGATATGGATTCAATGATTTTTTTTAAAAAGTATTTAAATATATTTGTAAACATTTTAAAATTGTGAGGTATTACCACTTTTAAAATTTTTTTTATCTTTTTGAGACATACCAGCCTGGGCTATAAAGTGAGGCTTTTTCTTTAAATTCAGCACAGACATCAGTGGCTACAGGGAAATAATCACATAGGAGAAAAAACCCCATCTTCTTAGGAGATAGAAGGGTGAGAATCCAGAGAAATAAAGTAATTTTTTTTTTTTTTTTTTTGGTCTTTTTGAGACAGGGTCTGGCTGTGCAGTTCAGGCTGGCCTTGGGCTCACTTTGTAGCCCAGGCTGGTTTGGAACTTGTCACGATCCTCTGCCTCAGCCTTTTGGGTGCTGGGATTACAGGAGTGCCATCATATCCGGGTACCATTATTTTCTTAAAGCAAAAATATATCTTAGGGGGTACTTGACTGTGCTGTGGTGAACAGATGAAGCCCATCATATTCAGAAAATGGGAGAAATATTGGGGTGAGGTCCCAGGAATCTAGAGAGTACTCTGGTCCAGTGAGGATCAGCTCGCTTCTTCCTTCAGCCTCCATATCTGTATCAGCTGGAGCAGACAGCTGTGCATTTTCCTGTGATTACCTCTCATGCTTTTCTCCTGACAGTATGCACTGCCATTCACTGACTTGCTTCGAGACTCCCCAGGAACAGGGCAATGTTTTACTTTATATGTGTGAAGATGCTAGCAGTTCAAGACTCAAAGTCACACTCAGACTCTATCCATAAAATTCTGTATATACTTATTTTTTTTGTTCTTTATGCCACCATAAACCAGCTTTTGAAATTTTTTAGTGGACAACCTGGAATTCACTTAATCAGGAGCAGAATTCCCTATCTTGCCAAAAGCTTGAAATATTTCTCTTTCTTGGTTTAACTAACTCTGGGTTCTCCAGAGGACAATCCTTTATTCTCTATCACCCTTATAAAATTTCTTAGCGTGCTGTTGGCATTAGTCAATCTCCCTGCATTTTATTGCTGTTGTTCTCCTTTCTTAAAATTTTTAAAATTTCAGTATATTATTGAACAGCTCATACTAATCACTGATAGTCCAGTTATCCAATTATCTACTTATCACTGACATTCTCCTTCTCTTGGTGGCTTCTGTGCTGTCTCTATATAATTTTATTATGATTCTTGGTGATGTCTGCACTGACATAGACACCTCTTCCTTACTCTGGCCTTCAGTTCTCTTAATCTCTCCACAAACATTCTTTTTTTTTTAAATCGGTACTGGGGATCGAACTCAGGACCATGCGCTTGCAAGGGAGGCGCTTGTGCCACTGAGCTAAATCCCCAGGCCCTACTCTGCACAAACATGAACATGTCTTTTATGTTCCTCAGTTTTTTATTCCCATTGTAATGTCACACATTTTATTCCTATCCAGGACAATCTTTAATTCCTATCCATGACCTTAATTTCAGGTGGTCCACACTCTAGCTATCACTTTTATCATTTAAACTGTTGTTATCACCCCAGTATGCTTTGATTCCACTGGGAGCTGTAACCTATTGATTCCTAGGACCTTTAACCTGTTTGTGGCACTTCTACCAGGTCTACAATACTCTCCTGATTGCCTACTTAAAACTTCACTTTTATAATCACTCATCACTGTACTTTCCTAAGTAACTGTCAAAATTATTTACATTTGGCATTTAGGGGCTGGGGATTTAGCTCAGTGGCACAAGTGCCTGCCTGGCAAGTGTGAGGTCATGAATTCAATCCCCAGTAGTCCCCAAAATACATAAATGTAAATAAAATAAAATAAATTTGGCATTTAAATTGATCTCTTTTCATCCAGTCTATTTTGGAGATACATACCCTCACACATACGTACCTTTTCTTGTTAAATTTATAATCAGTAATCTCAGGTAAGGCTTTAATTCTACTTAATTCATTCTCTCCATTCATCCTTCTTCCCTTATTAAAGAATTTAAAACCCAGGTATGAGAACATTCGTACAGATACAAAATAAACACATATCAAAGATGTACTTAATACATTAATGAAAGTATCAGCACATCATTAACATCAGTACAAATAAGAATATGACTTAAGGAATAAAAACTAAAACCTGCTTTCTGTACAGCTCACTTCCTGCATTGACAAGTCTTACTATTTTACTATCTTTGTAAGTGTGGTTTACCATTTTAGGAAGCTCTTCAACAGTAGATAAAAGTTTCAAATAACTTTTTTATTCAACCTAGAATTAATTTATATAAACATTAACTTGTTCAAGTCTTTGACAGATAGCACTAAATAAGTTTACTCCTCAATATTTTTTAAGCACTTTATCTCAAAATTTTGACTTTGCTGTTTAATTAATTCTAAACTACTATTCTTATCTAATACTAATGCCCCAGAACCATGTTAAACAGGATTCTATTTTTTTTTTTTTTTTTTTTGGTTCTTTGAGGAAGGATCTCATTACATAGTTCAGGCCAGTCTTGCATTTTACTTTGTAGCCCAGGCTGACCTCAGATTCTCAGTGAGCTTCCTGTCTTAACTTCCAGAGTGCTTGGGATTATAGGAGTTTGCCAGTTATTTGTAAATACATCCATTTTGCTTTCTCCCTTTGAAGACTTTACTGTGTTGATTAAAACTGTGTTTTGTTTTATGAACAGATTCTGTGTGGTATTACTAGGGAATGAATATTTGACACATTTTAATTCCTTATAAGATAAAGTAAAGTAAATTTCCATTTACAAAGAACCGGAATCATTTTTTTTTTTTTTTTTTTGGTGCTGGGGATTGAACTCACCCCAGCACAAGCAGGCACTTATGCCACTGAGCTAAACCCCCCGGCCCAGGAATCATTTTCAATGCTAGACAAGAAACATTTGCATTATTATCATTTTTAAAACCATCTACATGGTTGCAAATAGACCTTAGACCCACAGTGGAACACACCTTTATAGAACCAGATATTAACTAGAGGGTAGGGCCCAGGATACAGCTCAGCAGCACAAGTGCCTGTGGCAAGCGTGAAGTCTTGAGTTCAATCCCCAGTACAAGCAAAACAAAACAAACAGAAAAAAAAAAAAAAAAAAAAAAAAAAAAAAAACCCGAAGATGTAACTGCAGGGTTTGTTATACAACACTGAACATTTCATTGTGAGGACAGTCTTAAATCTTTTATCTCATTTCCAGATGTTAATAGTGCTTCCTTTCGATTTCTATGAAGTTGTGTATGGGAAGTGCCTCTAATACCTGACTTAGAAAAAATGGCAGGAGTTATCCAGGTTGAAAGCTGACCCAGTCAGCTGGCCACAGTTCACAGGGCTTTTTTTGCTGACCCTTACTCTACTTTTAGAACTGCAAGACACGATCTGTATAGATGCTGTAGGCATCATTGGTACTCAAAAGTGGTTTGAGTACAGGAGAGATTCAGAATGAGGATGAAGGTTACCCCCTTCCTTGCTCTTCACTAACATCTGTTTCCTAAATCAGCTCTGTGAGATTCTGTTTGGTTTGGGGCATCAAGATTCTTAGATTGATGAGTGGAGGACCTAAAGAAGAAAGGTGTCCAAAAGGTAGAAGCACTTTTTTTTTTTTTTTGGTACTGGGGATCGAACTCACAACTGCATACTTGCAAGGTAGGCACTTACACTGCTGAACTAAATCCCTGGCCCGAAGTGCTTAATTAAGACTTTGCTAAAATGAAACATGTAGCCTAGAGTGGCTTAATTCTAGTCACAATTGATGTGAACATAGAAATGCAAATGTATTTATTTTTTAAAGGCAATTTAGTATAAATAAAGAAGTAGGTCATGATATCTGAAAGCTCAAAAAATAGTCTTTTTTAAAAAATTTTATTTAAAAGGAAAAAGAGAAAAACATAAAACAAAGCGGTGTAAGGGTACAAGTAATATAGAACTACAAAAAAAAAAAAAGTAAGAAATCACCAGTTAATAGATTACATATTATCATGTTAGAGATAGTTGCTCAAATCACACTATCAAAGCATACAAAGTGGACATTCAAACAGTGAGACTGCAAACAGTTGTGTTCAATGATCCAACCAAAAACATTAATATGGTCAGCTATTTAACACCCCTAAACACACTTGCTGTTGTATCCTTTAGAGCTCTTTTTTTCCCTCTTTTTTTTACAACAAAATTTACACATTTTGGGTTTTATCACTCCTTAGTTCTTACTACTTTTTTGGGGGGGGGAGAGAATAAAGTCAAATATGGCAAAACAAAGCTGTCAGTCAAAACCAAGCGTAGACATAGCACATGATGTAAAACAGAGTACAAGGCTATCAACAATGTCTCTTGTTTCCTTAAAAAGAATTGTCTATCTCATTAGATATTATAAAGTTGAACAAAACAGTAGAGAACAAGACCAATAAAACTTAAGCATTGTAAAC